TCTTCTAGACACTGCTGTCTACCATTCTCAACAAGCACACAGACAAGTGACACGCGTAGTGCCATCATATGCAGAGGTGACAATGATTTACACAGAATAAAAGGAGGCTTTCGGGAACTGCAAGATAAGAAATTTCCCTTCTCTCCCAGACAGCTAGGAACCTATTCTACCCTAGTAGGCATTGAATTCAGAAGATGTGCTACAAGGCTCTAGCGTTCAGAGGTATTCTCCTGCCTCTCCTGATTCAGGAGGCCTCTGTGAGGATCATGGATCTGGCAGCTCTAGAAGGTAACAGCCAATGTTAGGTTCCTTGTTTTAGTGAAGTTTAACATGTCTTATGTTTCACTACTTGATTGCATTGTGCATTTAAAAAGATTAATTTCTTTTTATTTTATGTGCATGGGAGTTTTACCTGCATTTTGTATCTGTGCATGTAGTAGTATGTACATGTAGTACCCCCAGAGGCCAGAAGATGGCATCATATCCCCTGGAACTGAACTTATAGGGGGCTATTAATTGTCATGTGGGTGCTGAGAACCAAACTTGGGTCCTCTGCAAGAGCAACAAGTGCCCTTAACCACAGAGCCATACTGCCAGTCTGTATCTTAAAAGTAAATGACAGGACAGTCAGAGCTACATGGAGAGAAATAGACAAACAAACAAACCAACCCAAAAACCAAACCAAAACAAAAGCAAATGATGAAATAATGGCTGGGGTTTTCAGCTCAGTGGAAGGCACTTGGCCAGTGTGCACAAGGTCCTAGGCTCTATCCCCAGCACTGCACAGATCAATGAAATAAAATGAAAACGTATGCTTATCTAACAGGCTGCTCTTTGTCTTTCTGTATCCATCATATACTCTACTGCCGTATGATGAGAGTCAGATAGGCAGTTAACTACTTCTGGTTGAATTATAGCTCTAGCTCACCCATGAGCGAGCAGAGATATTGTGAGAATATTGCCCATTGACGTGAAAAAGAAAGTTCTTTGAAAACAAATTGCACTGGGTATCTTCAAGGCTCCTGACTGTTCAGTGGGCAGCAGATACTGCTCTTGTTTGGCTGCAAGAAGAGCCTGTGTCAGGCTGATAAGGCAAGAATTCTCCAGTGGGATCCCCTAGCCCCGTCACTGGAAAGGTTAGAGGCATATTATGGTACTGCTGGGATGTCCCATCCATCTCCTTGGGTGTATGACACAGGATCCTCAACCACACTTAACCTGTCAGGGAAAACACCATGATCACATTCCTCAGCCTCCCAGGATACATTCTAAAACATTCTCTCTGTGTCATCCCATGTAAAAGCCAACCCAGATAAACAATGGGACTTTTAGAGTATGGCTTGTTCTCCTGGTTAAGCAGGCAGATTCCAACCACGGAGTGTAACTCTGAAAGCCCCAAATGGCTTTTCTTGCTCAGGGGCCATGCTAGCTACTCTTCTCTGTATCATTCCAATTTTAGTATATGTGCCACCGAAGTGAGCACCCAAATGGCTTTTCTTTAGCACTTGCTAAACAACTGCCCAATCATAGAAAGTAGCTAAACCAAAGACTCAGAACACAGTTAATGAAACCAGAATGAAAACTATCGGAAGAGAAGAACCTCATCACACAGGACTGATGGAACAAGACTCATGAGCTTCAAAAGAGACTATCTACCATACAGAAGTCAAGCTGGACCTGGCCTGAAAACCTCCAACTTGCTGGCTAGCTTTCATAGCTCCAGAAGGTACCGCACAAGTTGCTGGAGGAAAGAAGCCATCAATGATGTCACATAGCATCAGGTCCTACATACTATAACACTGACCTGCCTGGGAAGAAGCCCCATTGGTACAATAGCGGCATGAAGATTATGGGGTAACCAACTGCTTCTGAATTGGATTTGAGCCTCCTCACAGGAGGAAATTCATGCCTGGTACTACAAACCTGGTCAAAAGCTCATGGGTGAGAGGTCACAGGCCCTAGGCGGAATCTACTACCATTCTCTTGTTAAAGGGACATATGATTAAACTGTCTTCTATATACTTATGTTTAAGTCAGGCATGATGGTACATACCTTTAATTCCAGCACTCAGGAGGAGGCAAAGGCAGGTGGATATCTGTGAATTCACAACTAGTCCAGTCTACATAGTAAGTTCCAGGTCACCTAGGGCTACATAATAAGACCCTGTCTCAGGGACTGGAGAGATGGCTCAGTGGTTAAGAGCACTGGCTTCTCTTCCAGAGGATCCAAGTTCAATTCTAAGCACCCACATGGCAGCTCACAACTGTCTGTAACTATAGTTCCAGCGGATCCGGCATCCTCACGCAGATATATATACAGGCAAAACACCAACACACATAAAATAAAGATAAACAAATAATTTTTAAAAAGACCCTGTCTCGCCGAGCGGTGGGGGCGCATGCCTTTAATCCCAGCCCTCGGGAGGCAGAGACAGGTGGATCTCTGTAAGTTAGAGACCAAGCCTGGTCTACCAAGCAAGTTCCAGGACAGCCTCCAAAACAATACCCTGTCTGAAAACAAAAACAAAAACAAAACAAAACAAAAGACCCTGTCTCTAAATACATATGTTTATACACATAGATTATTTCTGCCCTCAACTTCTCTCTGCAGTGGTCAGCAGTTAATGCAGACATTCCTAATGGACAAAGTGGTATATTGAATACTCAGCTTCTCCCAATGCCAAGGTTGAGGAAACCCTGAGGAAGAAGAGGCGAAAAGCATGTAAGAGGATGGGAGGGGTGTTGACATGATGAGGCCATGGCAGTCATTAACTCATTACAGGTATGGTTACCCATGGAAGATCAAGCCAACAAGACCAGCCAACATTCCAACAGGCAGCACTAATTGAACTCAGTGAGTTATTTAAAAAAAGAGGGAGGAGGAGCATATGAGGAGGGAGGGGTGTGTGTTGAGGGTACCTGGGAAAGCAGGAGGGAAGGTGTGAAATACACTGCTCACATGAAACTGTCAAAGAGTAAATAGAAGGTACTCTACAAAAAAGAATACTGTCCACATGTGACGGTAACTTTTAGCTTATATGTAAGGCAGAGAGCAGCCTTGAGCAGGAAGGTCTTGGGCCATTCAGCTTGTACAACTCCTACAGAGGACAATGGCTACACAGCACAAAGCTTGGATTATATGGAATGTTCTTGTTTTAGCTACAATGCAACCTTTTCCTCTCAGTCAACCAAGTTTCTTAAAACACAGGTGTGTGAGTGGAACATCAGAGGGTCCACTCTAAGGCACACTGTTGCTTTCAACACAGAGCTTCACAAACAATGAGAGAGTAGAGGATACACCCCTGCAGAAACCCTTACGGAGGGAAGAAGTTAGAAGCAAAATCACAAGATGGTTTTTCCTCAGCTTCCCAGCTTCAGAGAGCAAGTGCAGAGACTTTCTTTCACATACTGCACACTTACCTTCCCTGCTGACCAAAGTCTAGCATTTCCTGTTCAAGATGCAAAATTCTTCCATGTGATCAGCTGTCCCAGTCAGAGGCACTGAGAGCTGGTGCTGGAGGTAGGCGTGGCCCACGTGATGAGCCCAGGAGGTGTTTTATGTTGTGACTGAACTTCTACAGTAGGAGTCAGGCACCGTTGGGCTGACTTTTGACATGGTTCCAATTCCAGTAAGAAGAAAACAGCCCCTGGAATATCCAACCCAGGATTCTGCCCCTGGCAGTTGCTCTGAGGGGTGCTATAGAGGCAGTGTAACTGACTCCATGCCGCTGTGGGAGCCTGCCTTCCAGAAGCTGTCGGCTGCCTGACCACATTGCATTCCCCTCCAGGTGAAGGGATCATGTCCCTTTCTTACAATAGACAGAAGGAAGAATAAGAGGGAAGGGATTAGACACTTGCACACCTGCATGGCTTGGCATCTCAAAGAAGTTTCCTTTCTCCTCTGGTGAGCTGCGCTGCAGAACACCAGCTCTGGCCATGGTGCACTAGGGCAGGCAGGCAGTCTTAGCCTAGGAAGACTGCAGACAATAGTTCCTGTCTCTCCTTCTCCATCTGTAGCCACCTAGGTCAAAGGCCAAATGGTGCTTCTTGGGATAACCGATTAAGGCACAGTCACCTCAGAGCCTATGTCTTGCCTGAATTTTCTTGAAAAGAGGAAAGCAAATAAAGCAGTTGGATATAAGCTAGAAAAATAAAGTTGCCTATGACTCCTAGTGTAAATCGCTTGTGAAATCATCCATGGATTCATTAGAAGCCTCTATAGAAAGCCGAAAGTGACTGCATGTTGGGGAGATTACAGGGCCCTGGGTAGCATTAGGCATTCTGCTCTTACGTCTGACTTCCGTAAATAGCCCCAGCCAAGACAGTGACTCATCCTGGCTGTCAAGAGTTAAATAGGAGCTTGATTTGCAGTGGCAGAGTAAGCTGAACAGTGCTCCTCAAACACAGTTCTGGCCTGGTAATTCTGAAAGATTGATTGAAGTCAGTGCAGAAGACGGAAAACTACTATTACCATCTTACACTAAAGAGAGGTGACCAACATATAATGAGAAGCCCCATTGCTCTGGTTCAGAAAATCAGCAAACACTATTCCGGGGGTGGGTGGGTAGGTGTGGAGTTTGTGTAATGAAATCTATTACATTTATTTATTATTTTTGGCTTTTGGAGGCATGGATTTTCTGTGTGTATGCCATCTGTTATAAACATAAGACTCAGGGAGATTTTTCACATACTCAGAGATTACTCTGCACAGACAATTCTAAAGAAGCTGTAAAATTCCCAGCAAATAAAATTCAGTAATAAAGGTAGATAGTCCTTTCATTGAGATTCAGTTTCACTCACTCAGCAATTATTTATTGCTTTTCCACAGTGAGAAAAACATTCCAGAGAGGATTAAGGTGGGCCTAGAACAAGAAAGGTAAGGGCCTGCTTTGTGAGGCAGAGTGTTTACTGCAAGAGGGGCTATTATCCCCAGATGAAGAAAGCTGGCTGCAAGGAAATGAATTAATTGTTCTTGAAGAATGGATTAAAACCTAGGATGCTCAGAAGCCAGGGGAAAGTGTCTGGGTGCTGAATACAGGAAAACGGGGGTGAGTAAGGGCGGGGAAGGCATAGGGAAGGCTGGCTGAAGCAGGAACACTTCGGGCTGGACTCCACGGGCATGGAACAGCCTTCCAGCCTAGATTAACAGACGGCTGTCTGTGGACTGCAGGGATCTGGGGGTAGCAGCCATGTTTGAAGTTTAACAATCAGGATGAAAGCACAGCCACTGCTGGGGGCTTGGTGCATAATAGTCTTTCTTGAACATGCAGTTTCTTATGGCCGCTTCAGGACACGGCACCAGAGGCCACCCAGACTCGAGAAATCTGGAAATGGTTGCTGGGCCGCCAGCATATGAACACTAGATAGCAGTCAGTTTTGGAGAACCACCATTGTGTGACAACTGAAGGGAGCACTGCCTACCTACTCCTTCATATTCTAGAACTTTCTGAAGTTCCCAAAACTTATCAACTCCAACCAAATACAAAGTGACCCTGAATCTCTAGCGTGCTTCCATTTTTCCAGAAAGACAACTTTGCTGTAGTCCAGCAAAACAAAAACACAGCTTTTGAAAGACTTATGATCAACTTACATATATCTTAAGAACATAAGTGTGTCCTTAGCATGTTATAATTATTCCTATACATTTGATAAAAATATTATAAACTAATATCAGAAATACTGTCATGAGTCAACTTTTACATCTCCTAAATCCATATTATACAAACTATTTTAGTGGTTTTTTTTTGTAACTTCCCTTCACTGTTTTTAACCTTTCTAAATGCTAAGATTACAGTAATATTCATTTTTTTCTTGCTGTTACCCATCCTTTTATTTTTAATTTTACTTTCTGCAGTTTTATCTCCCAACCCTCCTATCAAATTATCTGCTCCTTAAATGATTAATTTCTTGGAGCCCTCTTTATTGCCTGCACGAACAGCACCCTACTCTTTATTCTGTTTTCAGTGTACTCTTCCAGTGTCTTGGCCGATTCGGCTCCATGTTCTTTGAAGTTTTCTTCTGCCCCATGCATCCCAATTCCTTTGAGCTCCCCTTTCCGCTTCTCTTCAAGAGAGGCTGAAGCTGCTTGTGTTGGATGCTTTCATTAAAAGTCTCATGATGCTTGGTTAGTCATTCATATTTAATAATGGGCCACTAAGAATCTGATTTTAAGCTAGCACATGGTATGAATTAACAGATTTCATCAGAGAGTATTTGAGTAAAAAGCCAAAGATTGTTTTAAAATTTTTTCATTAGTAAGAAGAGATGGTTTTTGTTGTTGTTGTTGAAAGAGGGTCACTATGTAGCCCAGGCTAGTCTCAAACTCACTATTTCAATATGTATCCCGGGCAGGCTTTGAATCTGCAGTCTTCCTCAGCCTCCCAATTGCTAGGCTTACAGGCATGTACCATCAAACCGTACCCTTGCACTTCTCATTAGTCAGTTTACAACAAACAGGCCCAGAAGCACAGTGACTCAAACCAGACAACTATTTCTAGTTGAACATCACGTATGATGATGAACAGTGCAGGAAAGTAGACCCTGCGATTCCTTCATCTAAGGAATGCTTAACCTAATGCTTCCTTCTCCCCCCTTCTTCCCCTCCATCCCCCTCTTCTCCTTCCCTTTCTTCCTTCTACTCTCCCTCCTTTCATTCACTTCCACTCTCCCACCTTCTCTTCCCTCACTGTATATGAGAGTTCACATGTGTGAGAGTGAGTGTGTATATGTGTCTGTGTGTGAGCACACATATGAAGTCTATAGGTCAACTTCAGGAATTGTCCCTCTGGTGTTGTTGTCATTGTCCCTGGTGTTGTTGTCATTGTCCCTCTGGTGTTGTTGTCATTGTCCCTCTGGTGTTGTTGTCATTGTCCCTCTGGTGTTGTTCTCATTGTTTCCCTGGTGTTGTTCTCATTGTTCCTCTGGTGTTGTTGTCATTGTTTCCCTGGTGTTGTTCTCATTGTCCCTCTGGTGTTGTTCTCACTGTTTCCCTGGTGTTGTTCTCATTGTCCCTCTAGTGTTGTTCTCGTTGTTTCCCTGGTGTTGTTGTCAGTTTCCCTGGTGTTGCTGTCATTGTCCCTCTGGTGTTGTTCTCATTGTCCCTCTAGTGTTGTTCTCACTGTTTCCCTGGTGTTGTTCTCATTGTCCCTCTGGTGTTGTTCTCACTGTTTCCCTGGTGTTGTTCTCATTGCTTCCCTGGTGTTGTTCTCACTGTTTCCCTGGTGTTGTTCTCATTGTCCCTCTAGTGTTGTTCTCATTGTTTCCCTGGTGTTGTTCTCATTGTTTCCCTGGTGTTGCTGTCATTGTCCCTCTGGTGTTGCTGTCATTGTCCCTCTGGTGTTGTTCTCATTGTCCCTCTGGTGTTGTTATCATTGTTCCTCTGGTGTTGTTCTCATTGTTTCCCTGGTGTTGTTCTCATTGTTTCCCTGGTGTTGTTCTCATTGTTTCCCTGGTGTTGTTCTCATTGTTCCTCTGGTGTTGTTGTCATTGTCCCTCTAGTGTTGTTCTCATTGTTTCCCTGGTGTTGTTGTCAGTTTCCCTGGTGTTGCTGTCATTGTCCCTCTGGTGTTGTTCTCATTGTCCCTCTAGTGTTGTTCTCACTGTTTCCCTGGTGTTGTTCTCATTGTCCCTCTGGTGTTGTTCTCATTGTCCCTCTAGTGTTGTTCTCACTGTTTCCCTGGTGTTGTTCTCATTGTTTCCCTGGTGTTGTTCTCACTGTTTCCCTGGTGTTGTTCTCATTGTTTCCCTGGTGTTGTTCTCATTGTTTCCCTGGTGTTGTTCTCATTGTTTCCCTGGTGTTGTTCTCACTGTTTCCCTGGTGTTGTTCTCATTGTCCCTCTAGTGTTGTTCTCACTGTTTCCCTGGTGTTGTTCTCATTGTCCCTCTAGTGTTGTTCTCATTGTCCCTCTAGTGTTGTTCTCACTGTTTCCCTGGTGTTGCTGTCATTGTCCCTCTGGTGTTGCTGTCATTGTCCCTCTGGTGTTGTTCTCATTGTCCCTCTAGTGTTGTTCTCACTGTTTCCATGGTGTTGTTCTCATTGTCCCTCTAGTGTTGTTCTCACTGTTTCCCTGGTATTGTTCTCATTGTCCCTCTAGTGTTGTTCTCATTGTTTCCCTGGTGTTGTTGTCAGTTTCCCTGGTGTTGTTCTCATTGTTTCCCTGGTGTTGTTCTCATTGTTTCCCTGGTGTTGTTGTCATTGTCCCTCTAGTGTTGTTATCATTGTTCCTCTGGTGTTGTTCTCATTGTCCCTCTGGTGTTGTTATCATTGTTCCTCTGGTGTTGTTCTCATTGTTTCCCTGGTGTTGTTCTCATTGTTCCTCTGGTGTTGTTGTCATTGTCCCTCTAGTGTTGTTCTCATTGTTTCCCTGGTGTTGTTGTCAGTTTCCCTGGTGTTGCTGTCATTGTCCCTCTGGTGTTGTTCTCATTGTCCCTCTAGTGTTGTTCTCACTGTTTCCCTGGTGTTGTTCTCACTGTTTCCCTGGTGTTGTTCTCATTGTTTCCCTGGTGTTGTTCTCACTGTTTCCCTGGTGTTGTTCTCATTGTTTCCCTGGTGTTGTTCTCATTGTTTCCCTGGTGTTGTTCTCACTGTTTCCCTGGTGTTGTTCTCATTGTCCCTCTGGTGCTGTTCTCATTGTCCCTCTAGTGTTGTTCTCACTGTTTCCCTGGTGTTGTTCTCATTGTTTCCCTGGTGTTGTTCTCACTGTTTCCCTGGTGTTGTTCTCATTGTTTCCCTGGTGTTGTTCTCATTGTTTCCCTGGTGTTGTTCTCACTGTTTCCCTGGTGTTGTTCTCACTGTTTCCCTGGTGTTGTTCTCACTGTTTCCCTGGTGTTGTTCTCATTGTCCCTCTAGTGTTGTTCTCATTGTTTCCCTGGTGTTGTTGTCAGTTTCCCTGGTGTTGCTGTCATTGTCCCTCTGGTGTTGCTGTCATTGTCCCTCTGGTGTTGTTCTCATTGTCCCTCTAGTGTTGTTCTCACTGTTTCCCTGGTGTTGTTCTCATTGTCCCTCTAGTGTTGTTCTCATTGTTTCCCTGGTGTTGTTGTCAGTTTCCCTGGTGTTGCTGTCATTGTCCCTCTGGTGTTGTTCTCATTGTCCCTCTAGTGTTGTTCTCACTGTTTCCCTGGTGTTGTTCTCATTGTCCCTCTGGTGCTGTTCTCATTGTCCCTCTAGTGTTGTTCTCACTGTTTCCCTGGTGTTGTTCTCATTGTTTCCCTGGTGTTGTTCTCACTGTTTCCCTGGTGTTGTTCTCATTGTTTCCCTGGTGTTGTTCTCATTGTTTCCCTGGTGTTGTTCTCACTGTTTCCCTGGTGTTGTTCTCACTGTTTCCCTGGTGTTGTTCTCACTGTTTCCCTGGTGTTGTTCTCATTGTCCCTCTAGTGTTGTTCTCATTGTTTCCCTGGTGTTGTTGTCAGTTTCCCTGGTGTTGCTGTCATTGTCCCTCTGGTGTTGCTGTCATTGTCCCTCTGGTGTTGTTCTCATTGTCCCTCTAGTGTTGTTCTCACTGTTTCCATGGTGTTGTTCTCATTGTCCCTCTAGTGTTGTTCTCACTGTTTCCCTGGTATTGTTCTCATTGTCCCTCTAGTGTTGTTCTCATTGTTTCCCTGGTGTTGTTGTCAGTTTCCCTGGTGTTGTTCTCATTGTTTCCCTGGTGTTGTTGTCATTGTCCCTCTAGTGTTGTTCTCATTGTTTCCCTGGTGTTGTTCTCATTGTTTCCCTGGTGTTGTTCTCACTGTTTCCCTGGTGTTGTTCTCATTGTCCCTCTAGTGTTGTTCTCACTGTTTCCCTGGTGTTGTTCTCATTGTCCCTCTAGTGTTGTTCTCATTGTTTCCCTGGTGTTGTTGTCAGTTTCCCTGGTGTTGCTGTCATTGTCCCTCTGGTGTTGCTGTCATTGTCCCTCTGGTGTTGTTCTCATTGTCCCTCTAGTGTTGTTCTCACTGTTTCCATGGTGTTGTTCTCATTGTCCCTCTAGTGTTGTTCTCACTGTTTCCCTGGTATTGTTCTCATTGTCCCTCTAGTGTTGTTCTCATTGTTTCCCTGGTGTTGTTGTCAGTTTCCCTGGTGTTGTTCTCATTGTTTCCCTGGTGTTGTTCTCATTGTTTCCCTGGTGTTGTTGTCATTGTCCCTCTAGTGTTGTTCTCATTGTTCCTCTGGTGTTGTTCTCATTGTCCCTCTGGTGTTGTTATCATTGGTCCTCTGGTGTTGTTCTCATTGTTTCCCTGGTGTTGTTCTCATTGTTTCCCTGGTGTTGTTCTCATTGTTTCCCTGGTGTTGTTCTCATTGTTCCTCTGGTGTTGTTGTCATTGTCCCTCTGGTGTTGTTCTCATTGTTTCCCTGGTGTTGTTCTCATTGTTTCCCTGGTGTTGTTCTCATTGTTCCTCTGGTGTTGTTGTCATTGTCCCTCTGGTGTTGTTATCATTGTCCCTCTGGTGTTGTTCTCACTGTTTCCCTGGTGTTGTTCTCATTGTCCCTCTGGTGTTGTTCTCATTGTCCCTCTAGTGTTGTTCTCACTGTTTCCCTGGTGTTGTTCTCATTGTTCCTCTGGTGTTGTTGTCATTGTCCCTCTGGTGTTGTTCTCATTGTCCCTCTGGTGTTGTTCTCATTGTTCCTCTAGTGTTGTTCTCATTGTTCCTCTGGTGTTGTTCTCATTGTTCCTCTGGTGTTGTTCTCATTGTCCCTCTGGTGTTGTTCTCACTGTTACCTCTGGTGTTGTTCTCATTGTTCCTTTGGTGTTCTTATTGTTCCCTGGTGTTCTCATGGGCCCAGAGCTTGTTGAGTACACCACGTGTTAGTCCCCAGGGATCCACCTGTCTCTGTCTCCTCAACATTAAGATTACAACCACGTACATGTATCAGGCTTCTTTGTGTGTATGGGTGACAGTTCCTGGGTTTGAACTCAGGAACTCATCCTTGCAGAGTAAGTACTTTAATGACCAAGCTATCCCATCAGCTCTGTTTTGACTTGGTACTATGGATACATGCTGAATGGTTTTTATCAACCTGACACAAACCTAGTGAAATCTAGGAGAAGGAAATGCTTAATTGAGGAAACACTTCCATAAGATTGTCCTGTAGGCAGGTGTGTAGGCAGATCTGTCTTGATTAATGATCAGCGTAAGAAGACCCAGCTCACTATGGGTGGTGTCATCCCTGGGCTTATGATCCTGGGCTGTATAAGAAAGAGAGCTGAACAAGTCATGGGGAACACGCCAGTGAGCAGCTCTCCTCCACGGCCTCTGTTTCCATTCCTGGTTCCAGGTTCCTACCTTGAGTTCCTGCCTTGATTTCCCTTCATAATGGACTGAGATAAGGACATGCTAAAAAACACACCCAAGTTGCTTTTGGTCATGGTGTATTATCACAGCAATGGAAGCCCTAAGACAGGACAGAGACCAGAGCAATGCTGCATCTCCCATTACTTCTCCTTCGACTTTGCTGTTCCAGGATCTTAGAGTGCTGATCTTCCCTCTGGGGTTGAGGCTGCCTCTTCAGTACCAACACATCCAACCACTAAGAGAGCAAAAACACAAGGACAGCACGTTTCTTCTAATGAGTATATAGCAGGATCTGGACTCAGACTCTGGGGATGAGGGTAGATGTCTGGAAAGAAAGTTTTTAATGTAGGCAACTGTATTCTTGGTCAAAATGTGAGAGAATTCTAGTAGTCAAAAAAGAAAAGGGAGAGTCATGATATAGGGCACCAGAGGAGTAAGAGGTCCGGACCCTTTCTCTGAAAATGAAAAGCCATGGATTCCTTCCAGATTTATATGGCTTAATGAACCAAGACCTCCCAGAAGCAGTGACCCAGGTGATCCAACATCTAAAACAGGTGAGATGATGCAGTCTTGCAGACTATAAAAACAAGGACTTAGCTAGGTTTCTGTGTTTTGTCATGATCCCCATATATGGACAGCGCCCCCAACCAGCAAGAAGCAGTTTGGAATGAACAACGCCCAAATTCCCAACTATTGCTTATAAAATTTTGTTTTCATTTCAGTGGGGTTGCTTATTAAAGGGTAATGATCATAGTCAATCTCTTTCTAAAGGGAAAAAAGGGAATAGGATATAGAAATGAATACTTTGTCTTGGAATGGATTTTCATTTATTGTTACAAATTTAAGATCAATTTTGTGATATATATATATATTTCTCCTCTTGTTTACATATTGTGTTTATACAGCTCTCTTAAAAATGTAATGTATAATTAAATACAGATTATAGTTACCTATAATAGTCAAAACTTATAGTTACATTAGTTAGTTTTTCTAGATATACAGAGATGTATTTGAGATGGATAGATATTCTTCAAACCTTTCAGACCTACAGAATATATGGCATTTAAATGATTTAGGGTTTTTTCATTATAGTGAGACACAACTGCTTCTGATACACCAATTATGTCTGAATGGAAGATGAGCATTGAAGAAATTCGTTGTGGAGTTTGCTTTCAACATGGCAAGATTAGCCATTTGGGCAAGAATCTGCTCTTGCCTGGACTGTTTGACTGTTTCTGTAAAAACTGAACATGCAGGACCCACAGGAAAGTGACTGCTGAACTTAGACAGTCCTACAGGGCTCCTGCTTCATGGAAGAGTCTGCCAGACATTCTGCAGAAAACGGAAAAATGACTGACAAACTGCCAATGCAGGCAGACAGTTTAAAATTTCCTGCTTTGCTGAGAAGTGTTCCAGACACACTATGGCCTATGGGCTGAAGATGGATGCCCCAATGTTACAGAGGAACTTCAGGTGACTGTCCAGGTAGCAAGATGTCTCTGTCAATTCTAGAGTTTATATATTATCCTTCTATGGTCTTTGATGGAGTTGAAGACAGCTAGTTATAATTATAGTTTTCCTTAGTTATGATAAAAGATAAGCTACAAATAAGACTTTAGACTCACAAAGATAGGATAGATGATATTTTCTTTAAATCTTACTAAATGTTAATGGACTAAATATTATAACTATAGTCTTACTTGATAACTGTTCTGTTATATATAATTTGACTATGTTAAAGTAAAAAAGCCTTTCTTTTTATTTAGACAGAAAAGAGGAGAAGATGGGGGAAGTCCTGTGTACATGTGCTTCTCTTTTGGCTGATTAAATAAAGCACTGTTGGCCAATAGGGAAGCAAGATAGGTGGGACTAGGAGTCGAGGAGGATTCTGGGAAAGAGAGGCACGGTCAGTCATGATGTAGGACTGGAGGAGTAGGAGTTCTGGACCTTTTCTCCAGTAAGAGAACACCACATGGAAATACTCAGATTAGCAGTTATGGGATAATAATTAAGTCAGAGATAGCCGATAAGAAATCAAAGCAAACAGCCAACAGCTTCATTATTAAAAAAAGAAAGAAAAGGGAGACTAGACATTGGGGAGCATTGGTCCTTCTCTAAACTTGGTACTTTCATATGTCAGCATCCTCAGGTTTCCCAGGGTTCTGATGGTGGGTCTCCCGTATCTCACCCACATGCTAGGATGTTGGTAGTCACTGTGCTGTGTACACACTTCCACCTACTCCCATTCTCACTAGGTCTTCTTATCCTTGGCCTCCCATTCTGAGTCTCAGTCTGGTTGCTCTCTGATTTGTTTCTCCAGAGAATAGGCTTCATATTTCATATGGTACAGAGATCTGGTTAGCCATCTGGACGGAATGGGGCAGAGAAACAGCCCCAACTGTGCTTGGGACAGAACTCCCCAAATCCCCATTCCCAGCCTCCCACCCACCCTGGGCTCTTGGGTTTCTTGAACTCTCGTTTCTGGGCCTTTTAGTGGTTTTTGGGGGTGATGTTGAAACCTGGCCACCTCTCTAGTGCTCGGGCACAGTTCCTCTGTCATTTTATCCACAGAGTCTGGGTCAGGCTAGCACATGTCTCCTGGCCTCAAGAGCTTATGCTTCTGTTCTTTGCTCTCTTTATTATTTAGGAGAGTCTGAAGATGAGGAGGAAGTGGAAACAGCTTTGTTCCATTACCTCCAGACCTAGAAGTTTAAAATCTGTATGTGATACTCTCATGGGAAATTTTATCTCAAGCCACAAATATCCATTTGCTTAAAATAAAGACGGTTTTGTTTCCAATTCATCCTGTGGGTGTATACTCATGATCTCCACAAAGTAACCACTAATTGTATTTCATCTGAAGTGATCCTTAAAAAGCTTATTGGCAATGATATCCAAGCTCACAATTGGGAGGTCGACCCCCTGCAATCAATTACTAAATCTATATTGAATTTCTCTACTTCCTTTCAGATGACCTTCACAAGCATTCTAATTGTGACACAGTTAGTTTCAGGGTATTGCATATGTATTTGTAGGTCAAAATAAAGTAATTTAGAGAGAACTTTCTCATATAAAAATGTTAAGGAACTTAGTATAAGGCACCTCTTTAGTCCAAAAAGACAGTTTAGGAACAAAACGTGCCTTATATATTGACATGGAAAACACTGGGGTCCTTCCCATTTCCTTCTTTCTGCTCATGTTAGCTCATGCACACTGTCTCTGTCTGGATCTGAAATGTTTCCCATGTGTTAATGTGTCCAGTCAAAACCGGGCACTGCTGGTAGGCCATGCCTTGTGGGAAGTCTTCAGGTTGCTGGAGACATGCCCTTGATGGGGACCCAGTCTCTCTGACTATGATAAGAAGAGTTTTGCTTCATATCACATTTTAGCCATGTTGTGACTTGGCAGGCTCAAAGCAGCCAGGCTGACTTGACTGCAGATAGGACACTCTAAAACGGTGACCCAAACACACCTTTGCTCCTTTAAAGTCAGCTGTCTCAGGTATTTCTACAGCAGTGGAAACTTGGTGAGTACATGCACAGAACACTCTTTAGCTGCTTCTGTACCCAGCTCTTACGGTCTGCGAACCATCTCAGCTATAGCCTCACACAAGAAACCTTTCTTGACTGTCCCTCAGCACACATCCAAAGACTGGTCTGCTGCTGCACTGTGTGTTTCCATATACCCAGGCCTACCCTAACAGCATTTACCACACATAATCATTGGTGATTTGTCAATCTCCACCACTATACCATGCAATCCTGTAGGGCAAGGTCCAGGTCTTGTTTATCGTGACATTCCCAACATGACAAGTCACAAAAACCCCATCACTAGCAGCCATACTGGACAGAAGGGCATTAAATCATTATTCATCTCAGTTGAACTTGGGAGAAGGGGCAGTTTGGTTGTCTCTTCCTGATCATTCTTGGGTGAAAATGGAGCAAGCATTTTACATTAGAGGTCCATTTGCACATATCACATGGACATGTGGCATGACGCCTGTTCACCATATTGCCTTTACATCAGGGGTTCTGGCATATCCTAACAGAACTTGCATTCATTTAATAAAATATGGATTTAGGCTGAAGATGTTTCTGTCTTTTTTTTTAAAGTTCATACAAGGCAACTTTTCTTATAAACAATTTCTCAAGAGATCACAGCCTAGAAAATATGAAGTTTTAAAAACCAGTAGGGAATGTAAGGTCTCTCCGTATTGCAGAACACTGTAGGTGTATTTCTGGTTTCTCTCTACCCTGCCCCAACCTCACTCAACTCTGTGTTGTTAAGGAGCCCTGCCCCTTCACTGTGCCATCCCTCCTCTGCCTCAGGAAAGGATAAGAAACAGAAATAAGTAGAGCTGCAAGTCCAAAGGCAACTCCTCCTTTACCTGCTAGTCTGCAGTGGTTCTTAACCTATGGGTCACGGCCCCTTTGGGGTTGTCCAATGGCCCTTTCACAGTGGTTGCATATCAGATATCCTGCACACCAAATATTATGATTCATAACAGTAGCAAAATTACAGTTATGAAGTAGCAACGAGAATAATTTTATGGTTGGGGGCCACCACAACATGAGGAACTGTGTTAATGGGCTGCAGCATTAGGAAGGCTGAGAACCACTGGGCTGGAGTACCAGGTTAGAAACTTGAATGTGCATGAACAGAAGTCTCTGCCTAGACACCCACAGTGAAGTCACCTACCCAAGGAGGAATCAAATTATGATACTGCAGGATTCGGGATGTGCAACCCCCAAATATGGCATCTTGGTTATGTGAGAAGGCAGAAGACGGACAGTCGTGCTCCCCTGCCCCTTGACCTTGTCCCATGAAGCAAGACCCTCCTTTGAGAGGTGCAGCTCCTTTGGCCAGAGGAGATAACCATCCCTAGCACTGATGGCCCAGGGACAGGGAGAAGCATCCGGTTCTTCTTGTTTACCGTCAAGAGGTCACAGTCTCCCCAATCATGTACCCCATGGCAGTCATCCTCAGCAACTTACACAGGAACACACTTCCTGTGACTTTGGGGCTTTATTTCTTTATGAAGGCTCTCATCCCATGTAAGCCTTAGGTAAGCAATTTGTATACAAATCTGTGTGTTGTTACAGGTTCCTCAGCTATGAACTGAATAAAGGTTAAAAAAAGATACCCGTCTTCCCCTCCAACACTCACAAGAAAGGCTCACTTCCCCCTCTTGTAGTCCAGAATGTAGTACAAAATGAACCAAAGATAGTATTGTAAAGTGAAACCTAAGTCCTGGACTCCCACCTTAAAATACATCTTTGTCTATCCATCAGCAAGCTTGTCTCATCTTTAACTTTGGAATCCATCGTATAATCACTCACCTCCAGTCCTTTCCCCCAGGTCTCCCCATAAAACCCAAGGGGACTTTCACCAAGGTAGGCCAGATAAGGCCCATAATCTTGATGGTCAGCTCAGCCGCCCTGCCCTTGGCAGCCTGGTAGCCTCATCTGGCAGTGAGCAACAGTGTTTCCTTTCAGTGTTCCAATCATGCCTTTCTTTGGGCCTTTCCCTCCTCATTGTAACTCTTTCCTCTGACTCCTGCCTGGATGCCTTTCAGTCACGTGACTGGTGAACTACCGCTTCCTCTGTGACATTTAAACAGTTGCTACATAGTGTTTTATCCTGAACTTCTCTTTCATGATACCACTACTGTATGTACTGTAATATCTACATCTATTAGCAAAAGAAACGTTCTATAAGGGCAGAGCTCATTTTAGGTACCACTATTGGTTTTTGGATGGAGCCTCACCTATGCCCCTCAAAGACTCATGTGTTGAAGGCTTGGTCTCCAGATGGTGGCGCTGTTGAAGAGTGGTTGAGTCACGAGGGCACTGACTTCAGCTTATTCCAGGTGTGAAGTCTTACAGAAGGGGCTGTTAGGAGGTGGGGCCCGGTGAAAGAGAGATGGGGGTGGTGTGTATGTGTGTGTGTGTGTGTGTGTGTGCTGCTTTTAGAGTGTCCTTGGGACTTCCTGTCTCTCTGCTTCCTGGTTACTATAAGATAATCAGCTTTCTCCCACAAGGGATCGCAACAATTCATATTTCAAACTTCGTGATTTTCCCAAATCCCTAAATCCCTAAGTCCCCAAATCTCCATCCTCTCTGATGGATATGTTCTCCGTGTTACACATTTTTTACATATTTAGGACAGAAACACCTGTCATATGATGCCCATTCCTTTTCTGTTTACCTTCTAACTTTTCTTGCCCCAAATT